AATTATGTATGCCATAGGCGGAGAAAAATCGTAAGACGCTTACCCATGTAAAAAAAAAAAGTTAGTGTAAAAATCAGATTAATGTCGATTAAAAACTAATTAACATTACATGCTTTACAGCGGTTTTTAATCATTTTGTTACAGATTATAATCCGTTTCACAAAATTTACAAATACTACATAGATTTTTCTGAACCGTCATACAGAAAAAAATAACGTTTTTTATTCTAAAAAAACAAAGTTGATTTTAAAAGTCTTTCAAGCTTCTCCGTGTACTTTTGGCAGTGATGAACATGCTTATCATGCATCGCTCAGCATGATCAGTGAATCGAACACTTGAACATGAAAAATCACAGAATGGAATGAAACTACTAGCAGATTGATTCATAACGAAACATCTACGTTGAATCTGTTTTAGATAATTTGAAAATACTGCTTCTACAGAATATTAATTGATTTAGATGATGTCGTAATTTTTGTTGATATTTCTTTACATTCTAAAATGTCTAGATGAAAAGAAAAAAAATTTCTTTTATACTTACATCTTCATATGCGTTCATTTGATTTATTCTAATTGATGATCGATGGTAAATTACTTGAAGATTACAGTTCTTGTTTTTAGATTTTTCTTTGAACATTTACTGAAAACTAACCGTTATGGACTTGCACAACTTAATTTTTTCGTAATTTATCAGAGAAACTTTCGAGCAATACAAACTAGTAAAAAACTGAAAAAATCGTGCTCTGTTGAATTGTAATGCCACATTCTAAAATCCATCAGAACTTGCTAGTATTTAAAATGGCGGAGAAATTTAAAACGCACATACACCAATATGTTCATTCATTATCTTAAGTTAATTCTTTGTATACTCAATGTATCAAGCTACAATTGTAACTGTGAGCTGTCTACCTGGAGTTACATCTCCTTTGAAGATTTCATCAAGACCGAGTGCTTGAGAAAAAAAACTTTTTGAGAAGAAAGGCCAACTAACTTCAAAAGATTTAGGTTGTTCGTGAAACTATACGATATAATAATTTAGACTTTCTTGAATATTAATATTTGAAGTTTTGGTTGAACTTTTGTTAAATTTAAGAGAACAAGTGAAATTTTCTTTAAGAATTGTGGTGTATGTGGGAGTGGATGAAGTATTTCTCTTCACGACTATCCATACACCAGAAAATGCTCTATCTATGGTTTATAACTGATGATAATGTAAATGGTGAAATAGCTAGATCAGTGAAATATTTCACTTGATTGTTTATCGAAATTAAGATAAATTTATGAGAAGATAACTAGAGATCTAATTTTCGGCAAACAATATAATTTTTTATTTTGCACGTCGCTTGTTTTTTCAAGATACTTTTCGATCTTTTCCGTCACTCTCTGCTTGAAAATATTCTTTTTCAAAAAAAAGTAGGCAATCTCTTTCTCTGTTCATGTTTTTCTGATACTGCAACTCAGAATTCTCAATAAAGCTTCAATGTGGTCAATTGATTTTTTTTTGTTTCAAAGAGCATGTGAAGCTGTAGTGCCTGCTTTTTATTATTATATAAAAGAGCACTGCTATGAATGCATGCCTAGTTTTCGAGTTTTTTGAGGTAATGCACTTACTATTCCTTTTCACTGAATAACAAGTAAGAATTAAAAAGCAAGGAATGTGTTCGGTACTACAGTCTGATATACTCTTTCAAATAAAAAAAATACAGAATAAGGATCCACAGAGAATTTTGACTTGTGAAATAATCTATTTTTGACCCTTATTTGTTGAATATCTCCCAAAAACTTCATGTTATAGGACTTCCAATGTTCGCATAGACTCTTCACTTCAGTCTTAATAAATCTTGAGCACTTCATGCGATTTGAATGCACCTGGCTCAAGATCGATTTCTAATCGGATACTTAACAATAGTAGGAAAATACCAAACAATGATAATTGTCACATGATTAATATTTTCTTTTCACAGCTTTATCTATCACAAAAAAAGACGCTTCTTTCAAAAACTCAATGTTATACTATGATTTGGCCTTTATTTGTTCATCAACAAATTCAAAAAACAATTCCAATCAGTATAATAGATGTTCTTATGCTAATCTGAAATGTAAAAATTCGATTTTTCACTGTGCAAAATCTAGAATATTTAATCTTTGTCCATGATGAACAACTGAGCCGATAAATATGATGATTGAAAGTTTGACTTTGATATTTTGGCACTTTATCTAACGTAGCATTTTCTTCATTCATATTATGTTTATTTATTGGCATTTTATTCGAAAATGCATGAATTTTATGAGACACAATAATAATAATGCATGCGCTCAAATGTTTATTTTTAAAAACACTTTCATCTTTCAAGCATAAACTTTGACGTAGTGAAATAATCAGTCAACGAACGTTTCTTTCTTTTTTTCTTATTGATAACGTTCTGTTAACAAATTAGAGTGTTATGAAAGAAAAAAATTCAAATGTTTATTTTATTCAATATTTTTTAATAAAACAATAACAAAATTTATCTTTCATTTTTTCAAAGTTTATTTCATTGACAAATTCAAATGTTATTTCGTGTGTGGATTCTATTCTTACTACTACTAGTTAATACATCCTTAGCAGATCATTATAAAGGTGGTACTCTATCATGGAAACCAACAAATCCATATTCTTTAACGAGTCCTGTTGAAATTACAATAACAGAACGACATTCATGGACACTCACTAGATATCAATGTAATAATAATATTATTAATACATTAGGTACTTACAATGATACACAAAATGCAACAACAGCTACAATTATTTGTATAAG